CGCGCACACGCACGCTCACTCACTCACAGTTACACTCACACACACACACACATGCACGCTCACTCACTCACTCACAGTTACACTCACACACACGCTCACACACACACACGCTCGCTCACACGCACGCTCACACACACTGTTACACTCACACACACACGCTCACACACGCACGCTCGCACGCTCACACACACTCACGCTCACACACACACGCACGCTCACACGCACGCTCACACACACTCTGTTACACTCACACACACACACACACGCTCACTCACTCACAGTTACACTCGCTCACACACACACTCACACACGCACGCTCACACACACTGTTACACTCACACACACACACACGCACGCTCACACACTCACTCACAGTTACACTCACACACACACACGCTCACACACACGCTCGCTCACACGTACGCTCACACTCACTCACACGCGCGCGCTCACACGTGCTCACACGCACACGCACGCGCACGCACACACACTCACTCGCGCACGCACACGCACGCACGCACTCACACGCTCACACGCACTCACACACACGCACGCTCACACACGCTCACACTCACACACACGCACGCTCACCGTCGGTCTTAGTACACGATGTAACTACAGAAGAGTCAAGTATTAAATAGGAAAAATATAGAAACTCTTTGGTCATTTTTACGGTCTAATCAGATTCAATGATCTATGCTAAGCTAAGCTAAAAGTGCTACCGCCAGACCCGGAGATCGGCTGAATGGATTCGAAAACGGCAAAACTCAACTGTTTAACTCTAGCGGAGCTGGAAAATTAGCCTATTTTCAAAAATAGTGGAGTGTTCCGTTAAGTAAAAGTAACTTAAGTTGCTTTCAAACAAAGTTCACTAGGTCCCAGGATGATTATCATTATAATTTAAAACTATACTAAAAAAATTAAATATTAGATGAAAAACTTGTTTCCTTAACTACCCGAAATGCACTAAAATTTGGTTGGGAACAATAAAATTACTAACGGGGAACATATTCTAAAAATGAACTTAAAATAAAACTGAACTAAAAATACAATAGTAATATTAAAAGGAAATTAAAAAAATTTTAAAAAGCACAACAAAATGAATAAAAATTAAACTTAAATTAACATGAAAACTGAAAATATAAAACTAAAACCTAATTCAAACCATTAACAAAATCTATAATTCTATATACTGTGAACATTTATTGGGATTTTTAGAGTTAAAAATATTCTATTTATGGTTTTTTTTCTTACATTAACCTGTGACTACAGATGAAAATACACCACCCTGGCTAAATCTGGCACATCTTACACTGATTTTGTGTACTGTTAATGTGTATCGTCTCTGATTTAATAAATGAGTGAATATAAATCACTGGAATCCTGAAATCTCAAAACCATCTCATTTCAGTAATTGTCTGGGTGTATATTCCGTCTCTGACTCTAACAGTGTTTCTCCTAGTCACGGGTTGGTTAGTAAAGAGTCTGTCACCTTAGCGATGATGACTTCCTTCCGCAGGATCTTCATGGCGTAGTACACCCCCGAGGCTTTCTCTCGCACCAGAATCACCTTCCCAAACGTGCCTTTACCCAGCAGCTTCAGGTAATCGAAGTCATTCATCGTCTGAGAGCACAAACCATCATCATCATCATCATCATTAGTGCAAACCAATGACTGATTTCTACGCTCGTAACCGTAATCTGCAGAGAGACGCACCACTCTGGAGCTGGATTTGGACAGAGACACCTCCATGTCCTCCAGACCGCAGACGTCACCGGGAGAGCTGTACTTGATCTCCATCGGTTCGTCCGCTTCCCGCGCCTGCAGCCCATTGGCCACGGCCTGGATCGCACGCATCCACTCGTCCCTTCATACGTTACAAGCAGTCAGACAGTGATTTACCATGGTGAAGACACGAGTAACAACACAACAACAGAGCAAACTGCTCAAATGACGTGTTTCCAGAAGTATAAGAACGGTTTGTAATAAAAAATGTATCACATGTCCCAAAAAATATTCAGCAGCACAACTGTTTTCAACATTGATAATAATCAGAAATGTTTCTCGAGCAGCAAATCAGCATATTAGAATGATTTCTGAAGATCATGTGACACTGAAGACTGGAGTAATGATGCTGAAAATACAGCTTTGCTTCACATGAATAAATTATATTTTAAAGTATATTAAAACAGAAAACTTATTTTAAATTGCAATAATATTTCACAAAATTAAATTTTTATCAAATAAATGCAGACTTGATGAGCACAAGAAACTTCTTTAAAAAACATAAAAAATCTTACTGATCCCAAACTTTTGAACGGCAGTGTATATTTTTATATATTGTGATAAATGCCATTTCTATATTGCAAAAGAAAAAAGCATTTGCAATGCTTCATGGGATTGAAAAAAATTAAAGCTGCTTATTAAACTTCACAGTCTTGTATCTTTGTCTTTTTGTTTGATTTTCCAGTGCACTTTGAATGAATGCTCATCTCTCAGCAGCAGACGCGCATGCATGCATGTGTGAGTGTGTGTGTGTATCTGTGTGTGTGTGAGTGTGTATCTGTGTGTGAGTGAGTGTGTATCTGTGTGTGAGTGAGTGAGTGAGTGAGTGAGTGAGTGAGTGAGTGAGTGTGTGCGCGTGTGTGTGTGAGTTAG